AGGAAACTCAAACCTTCCTTTGTAGGACCATTCCCCATTAAAGCACTGCACGGGAAGAATGCTGTAGAAGTTATACTAAGTGATAAATTGTCCAGGAAACACCCTGTATTCCCGGTAAGTATCATTAAGCATTACCATGGGAGGACAGATGAAGCACCTCATCCAGTTTCTGATTTCCCCATTCAGGAACCAGAACCTACTTCCAAGCTCTCAGTATCTAGAATCCTCAAAGATAAAAAAGAAAGGATTAATGGTAAGGACACCAGATTGTACTTAGTCAGATACAAGAATGCTACGGCAGATCAGGATGAATGGTTACCAGAATCCAACATCCCAGATGGACCAGTTCACCTCAGGAATTACAGAGCTACCAAAAGGAAAGATTAGTTTTTTCTTTTTTTTGATTCCTCCTGTTTTGAGTTTTTTCTCTTTCCATTCTTTACAAGTAATGTTTTTGATATTTTTTTTGCAATATACAGTTCTTTCTCTTTGCCTTTTTGAGGGGCTCTAATTTTGTTGGGGGGGAAATGTCAGCTTGTCACTGAGAAAGCAGGACAATCTGTCTGAGTTTCAGAAATTTAGTTTGAACTTTTAAAAATAATTAATTACATCTACATAGTCCATGATTGAGTAAAAGAATAAAATAACTATCAATGACCAAAAAACATTAGGAATGCACGTCGGAGAGTCCGCAGCAGTAGTACACCTTACACCTGCGTCATCTCCAGCGCTATTCTTTGAGCTGTGAAACCTTGTTTCTCAAGATGTCACACATTTCAGAATGATGGCTGAGGTCGACATCGCTAGTCATGACCTCATGACCAAGGAAACAAGTAGGACAGAACCTAAACAGGAATCGACTTCCCATACGCTATCGGTACCGGCCCCGATGAGGATAAAAGCCAGCTCAGGTCAGTAGACATTGAGCATCGATTATCCATTTTTCCTTTCCAGAACCAACCTGTAAAACAACTCTTCCCATCACCTCACTAACCTCTCGCTCTCCTTTATAAACCACAAACCCGGAACACCAAACCACCAAAACGATACCCTTGACACTACAAGCAATACCGATTTTGCCCCAAAATTAAATGGCAATTTGGGTGGGGGAAAATGGATCAATTTTCTGGAAATTTTTTCCAAAATTCCTCAGGAGTAGAAATTAGGCTAAACTGAGCTATTTTAGCCCAGAGATAGAAATTCATCAAACATTCCAAAATGAATTTTTAGCTCATTTGGGACATTTTTATTTTTTGGCTAAAATAGCTCATTTTAGCCTAATTTTTTACTCCTGAGGCATCTTGTAAAAAAAGTGCCAGAAAATTGATCTATTTCCACCATCCCTCTTTAATCCTTCTTCATCCTAAATATTATACCAAACCACCCCATCACCCGGTGTAGCTAGAAGACTCAGAGTCTTGGTATCACCGCGGCTGACAGAAATCCACATTTCACGTGCCAACAAAGCCCCCACACATGAATAAAAAATGCAAAAAGGCTGGAATATTCATGAAAATACTACATTAACTCAGAATATTCCATATTCTAGTTGTTAAAACGTGTAGAAAGCCTCAGAAACCACCTCTTGAACGTTTTGTGGCCCATTTCCAAGGAAATAGCTCCATGTAACAGACTACCCCCTACCCACAGGTATTCATGGGACATTCTTGGTTAAAAAGATTTTTTGCATGAACCTTTGAAGCTTCTAGAATATTATCCCCAAGGTTTCATCCCTTGTTGCACCACCATGTGGGCTAAAATGGGCCCAAAAGTGCTCCCAAGTCCTACTAAGCTCCCCTGGGCAACCCCTAAGGCTTGCCACATGTGTTTAAAGGGCTTTCTGACTGCCCAAATAATGATCCTCCAGCTTTACAATATAGCATAGAAATTTACTTACCATTTAGTACAAGTCTCCTACACTTGTAAATAGCCTAGTTATTATTATTATTGCTGTTCTTAAGCCTCAAGATAACTCAAGAAAATCCACAGTTATCACCCAGCACCCAACGTCAACCTTTCTGGGCAGGCCCAAATTTCCTATTTCCACTCTGAAGATCCTCAAGACCCTACAGGATTATGACTAGTAAGTAATAACCCTTTTCTTGAGATTTTCCACTTAAATTCTTCCTGGGATTTAAACCACACCTGTTCACAGGCCCCAGTGTTCCAGGTACCTACATCCTCTGATCTTGCATGATACCTTAGAGGTATTAAACCACCCCTGATTTATAAGGCCCCTCTGGTTTTATTTATATTAATTAAATTAATATGAATTGGCCACTTTTTCTTATAAATTACACCATAAATTACCTTACTAGAGATCAGGGCGGCTGCGCCGCTGTACTTGTTTAGGTATAGATATATGCCAAGAGGCAGATAACTGATCAATCATTTTAGATAAAAAAAGCTTTATTTTCACTTCCAGTTCAAAGTCTGATCTGTGAATCATCCAATGATTTTTGATGTAATTTATCATTATAATATAAAAAATTCAACCCTCAAAAAACTTGACAAAGGTTAATTCAAATGGTGCATTCATAGATAATGAATTACAGCTCCAACATTCATAAATTGTTTCATTTGGAACACAATAGAAGAAGTACCCTTAATAAATTCCAACGCACTTATGCAGCTCATTGAAATGTCAAAGATTGACCTGTGCAAATTTTAGCTTCTAATCAAGTCACCATTGTAAACTGTTCAAACCAATAACAAGAATTATGTAACTAAATATTTGGATCCTTATCAACTTCTACCACTGTGTATTTTGAGCTTAACACTGTGAATTCAGAATGGAGAATGCCTGTGGCTCACTCAATCTGTATCAATATTTATCTAATTCATCTAAAAAATCAACCATGTCCAAAATTATTAATTTTCAGATCCACTAAGTTATATTTTGTGTTAAATTATCCCTTTAGTCTAGAACTACCTGTAGGTTTCATAGGGAATGGATGCTAGACCTCTTCCTTACCTCAAGAGCTGTTTGGTTCTGAAATAAGAGTGGAGTTCTAGCATCCCTTCCCTCTAAATCCCAATGGTTCAAGATGGGATTGATTGTTGTATCCTGTCTTCCCCCTGGAACCACCCAGTTCTGCAGGGAAGGGAGAGGTGTCTCCTCCCTTCTCTCTGGAACCGACTGGTTCTGGAGGGAAGGGAGAGGTGTCTCCTCCCTTCTGTCAGCCAACGTGATGCCAAGGAGTATCCCTTCTAGCTACACGTGGTGCAAAGACTTAAGATGTTAGAGTTTGAACTCTGGGACAAAAGAGTCCGGTGTGTAATTCCAACAATGAGTGGTAATTACAAGGTTATGAGATAGTAGAAATGAATAATTATATCAATAAATATTGATATAATTTAAACAGAGGGGCCTGATAAATCAGGGGTGGTTTAGTTCCCTCTAAGGTATCGTGCAAAAGAAGAGGATTTAGGTACCTGTTAACACTGGGGCCTGTTTAACAGGGGTGGTTTAAATCCCAGAAGAAAGTAGTAAGAATCTTAAGAAAGAAGGGGGCATTATGTACTAATAAAGCCCCTTAATTCTTGAGGTTCTGATAGACAGAGAATTAAAGCAAGAGACAATACATTACCAGACAGATACAAATGTTAAGCATTTGGGACGGTGGGTAATCTAAAGTGGGATGTTATAATCTGAGGAATCCACATTTGGGGGGACAGAGGGCTCTATATACCCGTGGAGGCATCTGGGAGAGGAGGGTCAACTTGTGGGTGCTTCATGCATGGAGGCTGAAACATGTGACCATCTCCTTGGAAATGTGCCACAGGTGTTCTGTAGAAGATTACAGCTGAAACATGTGGCTATTTCCTTGGAAATGTTCCACACACGTGTTATCAATATACAAATGTATTTTTGAAACAACAAATCAGTTTCAAGTCTTAAACCTGTTTATTAGCATATTTGATTATAAACATAAGCATATTTCATTTCCTTCTGGGAGGTACACTCTATATCTTTAATGTAGATTTGCCGCATGAAGTAGCTGAAATATAGGGTACCTTTGAGTGAGGTACCCTAGGTTATTCTTCATATAGATTAAGAATATTGAGAAATAATGCTCTTATTATTTGATCTTCTCATTTAATTTGAGCATTATTTATAACAATATGTTTTTGTATTTTCTACTGTGTTTGTGTCAGCTGGCAAGCAAAATCCAGTTACCCCTTAAATAGTTGACTTAATGTTTTGCTACACCAACTGCATGTTTCATACATTTCACACTCATTTCACTCATTTTATTATTCATTTCACTCATTTCATTATTAACATACTCTACATATGCTTGTATCTAGTTGTCCCTGCCAAGCTGGATATATAAAGTTGTACGGACTGAAGTCTATTGTTCCCCAGACTTTCAGAAGAGAAGATAATAATAACCTCATTTTATTTACTCATTCCTCTTGAGCTCAGAGATACATCAACATATCACTACTCTAAGCTTGCTTGACCCTCTCAAATCAACACATCACTGTCTGGATCCTCGAGCCTGAACTTCTAAAAACTTATCAACGGCTGGGCGTGAACACCTTGGACCGTATCAGACTCTTTCTACAACTTGGAGCCACTGGTCAACACCAGTAAACTTCCATCAAGCAGATTCTAGTCACCAAGGAGTACCCACGGCTGACAATTGGCGGCCACCCCTCATACCTGTACACCTGGTCAGCCTGTGCAGACGGAACCCTTGCTTTACGAGGATTCATTTTTTTTTTTCAGTTTTTTTAAGAAGAATAAAATCTGGTTCAACCTCGCGGATTAACGCAGATAAATCATCATCGTCTTAGTATCCCTTGTTGTTTCTTGGTCATCAAGCCGGACGACAAACATCTCTCATCCTTGTCACCCTCAACCCTTGGTATCTTAAACCACCGCCACCGCTTTTGGTCGTTCTTGTGCAAGCTTCGTCCTTTTGTTGGTCAACCTCGTATATAGCCCTTTTTTGTTTTCCTTTTCTTTCTCTTCCTTTCCTTTTCAATCAATCATGTCAATTGCAGACGAGATGGTAGTACTTCGGAAGCAACTTGCCCAACTCCAATCCAAGCTCAAAGCTCTCGAGTTGCGATTAGAAAAGGAAGTGTCAGCCCAAATTGCAACGATAAAGGATAATTCTATCATTAACGATGTTCATTTGACGAGTCCTCCCTATCCTTCGGTCAAATCATCAAGTATACAGAAATAGACTAGATCAGCTCAAAGTCGAGATCAGAGGACGTTACGAAGCCGCTCGTTCAAAGTGATGCGGCATCTCATAAACATTGTCAATGTCTCACAAGCTGCAAGCACAGCCAGCGAGCTTGAGAAGAAGCGTACCACGATAGATAGCTTGCGCAATCCGATTACCTCTGTTTCACCAGTAACCGAGTTGAAATCCTCAGCGAAGCCGACCGAAGCAACGAACTCGCCACCAACCAAGTTGAAAGCCTCAGCAAAAACGACGCTGGGCTTGTCATTGAAGGAGAAGGCAGTTCGGACGAGTAATTGGAACGACTTCCAGGCCTCAACCATCTTGCTTCCACCGATAACCAAGCCTGGAGCCCCGGTGAATCCAAAGTCAGCAAAGACGCCTCCAATACCGCCAAATAACTTGGTCACAGCTCTCAATACAAGCTCTGAGACCCCTCGGCTCTTTCATCCCAAGCGAACCCGCAAAGCCGACTTGGCTAGCTCAAACAAAGAAGCCAACGACAGAAACTTGCAAGCTGTCAGTGAACTGCCGGTCACGAAAGAGCTCAACGCCAATGCTCACTCTAAATTGGAAGGGGCAGTACCAAAGAAATCTGAGACATTAGCTATAACAAGAACTTCAGGAAACAAGAAAGCTGAAATCATTGAGCTCAATGACCTGCGACGCGGCTGCAGTAGATTTGCTCTCCTCAAGTACGACCCTGCTGTACTAGACCTCCTACCAACATCAGTAAAAGAGAAACGATTCATCAGAACTTCAACAGTGACAGATATAGAAAACTTACAACAGGCTTCAGAAATCTTAGTTAGAAGACAGGTGCTCGGTATTTGGGAATGGAGAGAAGGTACCTCGAAAGCTACACTTCACGAATACAAGACACCTGAACTTGGGACTACTATGAGCAACAGAAGATTTAAGTTTGTTGGTTTTGCATGGAAAGGTGCTTTAGGACAACAGCGCCCAAGAATAGAAGAACTTCATGAAGACATCTCACAAGGTGCCGACACTCTCAGATGGTATTGGTTCAAGGATCTCTGGTTACTTTTTTACTTTGATTAATTTTTTTCAAATGACAGCTTCATCATTTTTTTTCTGTTTTTTTTAGTGGTAGCAAATGTCAGCTGGCAAGCAAAACCCAGTTACCCCTTAAATAGTTGACTTAATGTTTTGCTACACCAACTGCATGTTTCATACATTTCACACTCATTTCACTCATTTTATTATTCATTTCACTCATTTCATTATTAACATACTCTACATATGCTTGTATCTAGTTGTCCTTGCCAAGCTGGATATATAAAGTTGTACGGACTGAAGTCTACTGTTCCCCAGACTTTCAGAAGAGAAGATAATAATAACCTCATTTTATTTAATCATTCCTCTTGAGCTCAGAGATACATCAACATATCACTACTCTAAGCTTGCTCGACCCTCTCAAATCAACACATCACTGTCTGGATCCTTGAGCCTGAACTTCTCAAAACTTATCAACGGCTGGGCGTGAACACCTTGGACCGTATCAGACTCTTTCTACAACTTGGAGCCACTGGTCAACACCAGTAAACTTCCATCAAGCAGATTCTAGTCACCAAGGAGTAACCCACCGCTGACAGTTTGTGTACTATGACAGGTTGTCTCTGCTATAGTAGCAAGCTGACACCTTCTCTCTGGAACCGACTGGTTATGGAGGGAAGGAAGAGGTGTGGCCTCCCTCCCATCTGGAACCAACCGGTTCTAGGGGGAAAGGAGAAGTGTCGCCCCCCTTCTCCGGCCCTAGAGGGAAGGGACAGGTGTAGCCTTGCTGAACACAGGTGACAAGTGCACAAGGAGCATAAGCAATCAAACAGATCAATATTGTTTTAGCTTACCTAAAAACAGTAGTGGGACCGCAAGAGAAGAGACAGATGTTGCGAGGTAGACTGCTGAGGATGTTTTCAAGTCATAATAGCTGGTGGGTGAATTGAAGGATGGTTTTGTTGATGGACAAGGCTGGGATGACTAAAAGAGCCGCTTGCTAAGTTTGAGGTTCTCTGAGGTGTGCCATGCAGTGACAGAGGTTGTTGGTTGTCTGGAGTGTTACCACATGGCAGTCTGAGCAATGGCAACAGAAGGCTGAAATTCTGGGCTAAGGACTACTGGCAAGAGTCAACTGCTATATAAGAGAGGGCTTCAAGCTGTTGGGACGCTTCTTCAGGTGTCAAGGTTGTTGTAATTTCAATGACCAAGATTTCCTCATCCCCCTCCGCTGTTGCACTTGCACAGTCTGAGGGGCTAACAAGCTGGCCCCCCACTTGTCCTCTGCCTTTGCAGTTGGATGGGGGCCTTCATGCCCAGAGGTTTTGACCCATGCAAGACATGGGCTGGCCTCTGAGCCCAAGTGCTCCAGCTTTGCTGGTGTTGGGGGGCTATTTTTTCTTCTCACTTTTTTTGTAAAAAATTATTGTCTTTAGCTTTAAGTCATGTCTTTTTTTCTATTTTTTGTTGGAAGGGCAAACCTTTGATTTTTTTTTTATTTTAGCCATTTGTAAGGGGAAGCCCTTGAATTTTTTTTCTGTAAATCACTGACTTTAAAATACTTGGATTTCATTGGAATTTATTCCTTTAGAATTTTAACCAAAAGTCCTTAGACTTATCATTTGTTTTTGAACCACATGTAGCTAGAAGAGATTGCATCTTGGCATCACGTAGGCTGACACTGAGAGTATCCCATTGCCACAAGTCGTGCCTTGAGCTTCTGAATTGTTCTATTGGGATGGCACTTCACTTTAAAAACCCACTTTGATTTGATGATTTTCTGCTCTTCAGGGAGGGGAACCAGACGCCAGGTATGCATTCCCAGAATTAATGCAAATTAATCTTCAGCTTCTTTCAGCCAGCAGTGCTTGTTTGGATATTTGGGGAGTTTCCGCCATGTTTATGGAGTGTCAATGTCTTCTGCCACCTTGGTGGACTTCCTCCTGGGTGAGGAGGGAGAAAGAAGAGGGACTGACAGGACAGAAGGAGGTGAAGGAGGAAGAGGCAGAAGATAAATTGGAACAATTCTACTGGAAGGCACCAGGGGTTCTGGTGTTGGAATTCTCCCTGTCCGCGTCCGCCGCTCTCGCTTCCTGCTCCTCAGTCTTGTCTTCTCTTCCCTTTTTTTCCTCTCACTCTTCCTCTAATCTCCTTGTCTCATCTCACTCTTCCCCTTCTAATCCACAAATCATCAAACTTGTCTCAGAAACATCAACCACAACTCGGCCAACTAAACAATGACCTATTCTAACTTCAAAAAAATACAACCCCAAGCCAAACACACTTGATCTCACTATAAAATGACTGGTTCTTTCCCCTCATGGAAAAAATCCTCAGCAGCTCACTCCCTTTGCCCAATCAACATCTAAAAACTTCAAAAATTGCCTACATTGCCAGCTTCTGCTTGGTCTTCACCCTCTCAACCAACTTTCAACATTCCCACTCTTCACTTTCCCTTTTGCCTTCGGCTCATTCCCTCTATTGTCTTATATCTTCTATCCCTCCTCTCTCTCATCAAACAAACTCACCAATATCAAAAACATCTCGATCTATCCCCAACATCCACTCTTCTAATTTCTCCTGCTAAATCCCTCAACTTTCTCTTGTGGCTATTGCCAATTTGGTGAGAAAGCATAAAACTGACATCCATCTTCAATAATCAAAAGCTCATCCTTTCTCTTTTTGTCTAAATTGTGTTTGAATGAATAGCTCTTAATACTTGTTGCTATTTGCTATCTTATATCTTTGGCTGTCTGCTTTATTGCCTCACTAGAGGCCATGGCGGATTTGCCGCGGCACTCGCAAAAACAGCCCCACAAAAAACAATCACCCATTATCACAATCCCCCCGCGCCTCATCCCCATGACCCGACCCCCCGCTGAAACCCTTTCCCCCAAAAGAAATGGCCAACACCACCACCCTGTGCCACCCCCAATTTCAGCTGTTGACCTTGCGTAGAGATCAAGCTGGACAAAATAAGTAGAAGTAATAATAAAAATATTATTACTAAAGATAAGGCTAGATACAAAAGAGATCGGAAAAGAGAGAAGAAGAGAAAAGGAAGATGATTTTTGTTTGTTTATTTGTTTAGTATATTTTTTATATTCTTGTAGAATAAATTTTTAGCCGGTAAGGAAACACCTCGGCCTCTGTTACTAAAGGTAGTAGCTGGATCAATCAAATATGTATTGATTGTGGTAGTTTTTTATCCAGTCAAATGAAATGGAAGGGTTATTAGAACCAAACCCGATTATTTATTTATTTTAGATATTTTGTTCAAAATTTTATTATTTGTTTTGGTTGGTATAGGAAGTGATAATAAGTAGATTGAAGGAGAGAGAGAAGAGAGAAACACACTGATATGAGATACTGTTAATCTAACAGGTTAGAGTGATAACTTACTTGGAGAGCCGAAGCAAAGTAAAGGTAAGAAGGGTAATGATCTGGAGAAGTTGGTTGGGGTGATCTGAAGATAAAAGGAATAAGGCAAGAGTCGATCAAGATTTCTTATTTCAATCTAGGTTTTTTAGACAATTAAATGAGAAAAGGATTAGATAGAATAAGACTTCTTTTAAAAGGATCATTTTCCGGAGGAGTTATTCTAAGTAATTTACCTTTTAATTTTTAATGTCTCAAAGAGTAAGATGGAGATGTAAGAAAAGTTTTTTGCTGAGGAGGGAGGAAGGACTATTCTGGTCTCAGGTGTTGAATACTTTGTACCAGTCCTTCTTCTAAAGTTTGTTGTTGTTTGCATTGCCTTGATTTGATCATCTTGCAAGGCTGAAGTCATTCTTTTGAAGATTGCTTTCAATATTCAAAGGATTTGGTTTTCCTTGATTAATCTTAATTTTAAGAGATCACATATCTGTGAAACCTCTAACATGTACGTGAAATCTTCATTATTTTCAATTTTATTAATTTTTATTTGTTTTAATTGTTTTGTGAAACCTTTAGGACATGTCAACATGTCTCCAAGGTTGACATTCCCTACCACCAAAAGGTAAATCCTGGACAGAAGTAATCTATGATTTTTTTTCTACCCTGTATTTCCTGAGCAAGGGTAAGGAATCTGGTATATCCTTTTCTTGGAGCCACTCGTCAAAGTCAGCACTGATATTCTTGTATCTTACAAGATACAATTTAACCTCTTTATCATTCAGCTTAGTTCTTTTTTCCCTCAAAATTTTACTGATAATTCTGTCATCTCCTGCCATTACAGGTTGAGGTAGCTGTTCTTGGTTAATCCTAAGAGGAAACTTCTCCTGATCTGAAGGGTTATAGTTCTTAAGTAGACTGACAGGGAATGTCGGATGTTTTCTACTATATTCTCCTGTAAGTTTCTACTTCTACTGCATTCTTCCCGTGTTTATCTATTATAACAAAAGGGCCTATAAAGGAGTCTCTCATCTTTTTTGGTCCTGGAAGATTATCAAAATTAATTGTTGAAATCAGAACTTGATCTCCTACTTCAAAATTTGGCTCTTTATGTTTTTTATCCCATCTTTCTTTATTATATGCTTCTGATTGTACAATGCATTGTTGCGCATGAATTCTTGCTTTCTCAAACATTTTTCCATATTCTATTGCTGTTGGATGTACATTAACTAAATCCTTTTTTGGAAAATCTTTAGGTAAGTGAGGATTCCATCCTTTCTCTAAAACTGCTGGTGTCTTATTGGTGGAAGAATGAACACTGGTACTGTAAGCAATCTCTAATATTGGTAATAATGATACCCAGCCGTGAGTAAATCCCTCACTATCCTTAAATTCAAGTCCATATGCACAGAACCTTCTAATCATATCTTCCAGAGTTTGTATCATCCTTTCTGCTAATCCATCAGTTTGTGGATGATAACCTGTAGAGAAGGATAATTTTGAACCTAACATACTGTGTAGTCCCCGCCAGAATTCTGATGTAAACTTGGGATCCCTATCTGAAATAATAATTTTTGGAATGCCTGTTCAAGGCATAACTCTATTCCAAAATAGTGTTGCTGTATCCATTGCAGCATCATTTTTGAAGCATGGCAAGAATATAGGGGTTCTCGAGAATCTATCTACTATCACTAAGCAAGCGTTATAGCTGCAGTTACCTCCTGGTGACAAGGATGTGACCCAGTCCATATTGATGATTTCCCATGGTCTAGAGGGTTGCTCAATCTTCATCATTAGCCCAAATCTCTTTCCTGTAGCTTTATTAGACTTTTGACATCTCTCATAACTAGAACAATATTCAGCAGTGTCATCTTTCCAAGTGGTCCACCAGGCTGTACTCTTAACTCTCTCTTCAGTTCTATCATCAGAAAAATGTCCTGCAGTGACACTATCATGACATTCGTAAAGCATGGTGTTAATAAGTATCTTATCAACCAATACAATGACTGAATCATGTTCTATCCTATGATATAGTAAACCATCAAATAAGCTGAATCTTCCTTCTTGATAAGATAATTTCCATGGTTGATCTAGAGAATTAATTAGCATAGTATCTTTAGAGTGTTTCATCAGGATTTTGAGTAAAGTAATTGTATTCTTTTCTTTAGAATATCTATCTCTGACTACAGAAAAAAATTCCTCACTATAATCAGTAATGTGGATACCCATGATAGGTAAGTGTTTCTCGTCTTCTGGATCATATGCTGGGTTATCTGGTGTGTTAGGCAGAGGCCACCTGCTTAATCCATCTGCAATCTTGTGAACATTTCCTTCTCTATGCACAATAGTCATATTGCTCCTATACTCCTGTATAGAGATCTGCCATCGCAACATGTTTCTGTTTGGGGTCTTCATATTCAATAGAGATTTCAATGCAGTACAATCCAGTACAATCTGTAATCAAATCAAATACACTCCCGTCTAAGTAGTAATGAAGTTTCTCAAGGGCCCACACCAAACACAGGCACTCAAGTTGACTAGCTCCGTACCTAGTTTCACTGCCTTTCAGTTGTCTAGAAATGAAAACAATAGGTCCTTCTCTTGCTATCCCATCAATCTACTGTATCTGGTGCAAGGCTGCTCCTAAACCTATCATACTAGCATCCACGTACAGAAAAAAATTCAAATTCCAATCAGGAAATAACAACGAGGGTGCTGTCGTAAGTTGTTCTCTGATATTGTAGTAGGCCTGTATCCTCTCATTTGTCATTTCAAACACTAAATCTAGTTTGCATAATTCTGTCAGAGGTTGTCAGCCTCTATGCTACTAACCTGTAAGGGTTGTGCTCTGAGTGTTAACAAGAAGAGTAATTGAGAAGGTTTATTCGTGGTTAAATCCCTCAACCTGTAAAAGAAACAGGGAGGAGTCAGTGAGGAATGGTACTTCTACTGCTGACTCATCCAATTATTCAATTGGGCATCCAGATCAATCCTGTTAAGTGGATTAATAGGCTTCCAATGTGAGGAATTCTTCTACTCACTTGGGATCAAGTCTTTTAACAACAATCCAGATGAATAAGTGTATGTACACTTAAGGCCCAGAATTGTTTAACCAGGGGGATAATTCTTTATGCAATAGAGATAAGTAGAAATGCCTTGAATCTGAGCAAAGTAAATCTATTTAGGTCTAAGGTAGCTGGATTGTAAGGTTATTGGTGGTTTTAATCACTAATAAACACGGTACAAGTGTTGGTTTGATGCTACTAGAATTTCCTGGGGGGAAAAGGTAGGAATCTGAGCTCCTTAAATATTCTACAGGGGGCTCAGGGGAAGAGGAGAGGCCCTCAGGGCACTAGGGAGCTTCTTAGCAGCTCTACAATTTGGTGTAAGGATGGGAGCTGCAGCTGTGCAGTGCTATGCATGGGTGGAAGGTCCTAAGACATGAGATCATACATGCATAATTGAGTTTTGAGGCCTATTTCTCACGTAATTGAAAGGGCTACAGTTACTGTGCAGGGGCTGTGCAATTGTAGAGTTGGTTGCATACGTGTAACTCTGCTTATGTAAGCTTTTGATCATGAGAAATGCATGTCCTTCATGCATAATTCAGTCTTGCATGTAGAATTTGGGCTCCCTTCCCGTGTAGGCTGCTTTAAATTATGCAAGCTTTGAATTAGAGCACAAAAGGGTCCTGATGACGCCATCCAAGAGGGATATGATGCAATCTGATGCCCTGATGATGTGATCAAGGATGTGTAAGCTTCAGATAAATGTATATAGCTTATTCCTCATCCATTTCACGCTTCTACTAGCTGATTCTTTATACATATGTAGTTATTTATGGCTTATAAAATATGTACATAATGTATAAGAATAAACATTGTTTTAATACTTTATTCTAATGATATTTCTGTGAAATCCTAGTGATATTATATTTACAATACTCAAGGGGATTTCACAGTTAATTATAGAATTATTAAGTATAAATTATGAATTAAGATTAAATGTAAATACATATTTATTTATTTATTATTTTAACAAAAATGTATGATATTTTCCAGTATTCAATTAGTTATTATTATTGCAGTTACTAGGTACATTTCACGTACTGTGAGATGTGCTCTGTGGCTGACAGAGGTATAGTTATACACATCATCCCTGACATGATTTCCCAGATGGGAAATCTTGTAAATTTTAGGGAAATCCTGTAAAAAAAATAAAGATTTTTACAGATTTTTTAGATTTTTATAAATTTTTTGGATTTTCCAGATTCTTTAGATTTTTTCAGATTTTTTTACATTTTTCTAGATTTCCTAGACTTTTCTAATTTTTTTAGATTTTTCCAGATTTTATTACTAAGAGACATCTATAAAGTTGAAAAAATCTGAAAAAATCTGAAAAAAAAAAATAAAAAAACTGGAAAAATTAGAAAAAGGGCCTTAATAAAAAAACACGGGTTTTGCGTGTTTACACGCGGTTTTGCTGCGGCACAGCACACACGGTTTCCGCATTTAAACACGGTTTTGTAATTAATTTTTTACCGCTTATTTTTTGAGTTTTTTTGAATTTTTGAAATTTTTTCCTACACTTTGAAGGGTGTAGAATTTAATGGTAAAGTCCATTTACCATAAAAATGACTTTGAATTTTTTTTTCTGCTCACTCATATGTACAATTAACTGTTACTGGCTTGTTTTTCATTATTTTTTGATATTGTAAATTTGATTCCTACACTTTGAAAGGTGTAGAATTCAATGGTAATAATTATATTGCATAAAAATTAATTGTATGCCTTGTAATTTTTTTTCCTGCTCATTTTTCCTATTAATTGTTACCGGCTTGTTTTTAATTCTTTCTTGACTTTGTAAATTTTTTTCCTACACTTTTAAAGGTGTAGAATTGAATGGTAACATTTATTTTGCTTAAAAAGGATTTCTTTGCCTTTTAAGTTTGGCTCCCACTCATTTTATTGATGCAAGCACGGTGGAAAGTTCCCAGTGGTTATTCAACCTTCCAAACTTGAATTTCTCAATGGAAAAAAGACACAAAATTCTATAATATTCTAATGAGGCCAAATTTAAATTTTCAAAAGAGTGTGGGAATAAACAAGTGTAGTTTGGATTTTAAAAGGGACACAAGCAGGAAATCAGAGGAAGGTATGGAGGACAGTAATTCAAAAATTAATCAACATCAACAGGATCCTTTTTGAAGCGTTTAGATCTTCTGAGAGGGGGGTACAAGACTTCTTTACCCAGGTCAGTGTGGGCTAGAATATAATCCTCCCAACCCTGCGCTTCATCGCTGACATAGTGTCTCCAAAATGCATCAATCCTGGGGCATGGTCATATTTCAGCCTTGAAAGCGAACGGGATGAAATGAGAGTAGTCAGGTAAGAGGATCAGAAAGATGGGAGGTTT